GCAAAAAAAACACAAAGACCCCCCCCCCCCCCCCCCCAAAAAAAAACCAAACAAACATGATTTTGATACTGTTTATTTAATAAAAAAAAGTATGTATGTTTTAGGTTTATTTGGATGTCTGTGACGCTTTCTGTCCAATAAAAGGGACATATTTATCTTTACTACTGAGTGCTGGTGATTTCCTGACTTTCCTGGTATGTATGTTAAAACATTCAGGGCTAGTTCACACCAGCTCCAGTGCATTCCGGCCCGATTTGGTGCTGGAACACACTGGATCGCATCCCAGCTGGCTCGCTGCGTTCTGGAATGGGCGGGGACGTGGTGGTGCATTCAAGTCAATGGCACCGCAGGCACGCCTCCCAACCGCAGTGCGATCGCCTGCACTGGAATGCATGGCAAATCAATGTCTGCAGTACCGGTGCACTCGGAAAAAATAGTGCATGTAAATGGAGTTCCCTGACTGGCCCCCCCCCCCCCCACACCCACACACACACACTACAGCATCTTCACCATCACTCTGTCTGAACTGTGGTCCGCAAGTGTCAAAAACACTGCGGGCAGCATGAGGCAGCTGCTGGTGGCGTGCCCTCTTCTTTTTCTCTGGGCTCCCCCCAACTGGCCAAACACTAGGGCTCGGTCGCAAATGTGACTGCTGCATAGGGTTGCCACCTTTTCTTCAAGTGAAACCCGAACACTCTAGCGCCACTAAAAATTTTTTGGGGAGAATAGAGGAGAGAGTGAGGAGAGGCAGCTAGGGGAGGGAGTAATGAGACCATCTATAGAGAACTGCAAATCCCAGCAATACATTATCCAGCAATACAAAATAATGTGAAGCTACATACTCTGTGCTGTTCTGAGTTGGCGCCCTGATGTCTTCAAACGGGTGGCAGAAGTGATGTAAGCAGGCATCGCCTGGGTCCCCAGATGGCTGCTGCGAGGTACCCTGCGACGCCGGACCTAAGACACCCGAGTCAATTTGAAAGATGTAAGTGCCGGCATTAGTTTTAAGTATCGGGACAGAGGTCAGATATAACACAGCGTGCATTGGTCAGCGGTGTAACACAGAGTGCGGAGGCCAGTAAAGTGACGCAGAGAGCGGAGGCCAGTCAGGTGGCTCAGAGGCCAGTCAGGTGACGCAGAGCGCAGAGGTCAGTAAGGTGACGCAGAGCGCGGAGGCCAGTAAGGTGACGCAGGGTGCGGAGGCCAGTAAGCTGACGCAGGGTGCGGAGGCCAGTAAGGTGATGCGGAGGTCAGTAAGGTGACGCGGAGGTCAGTAAGGTGACGCGGAGGTCAGTAAGGTGAGGCAGTGCGGAGGTCAGTAAGGTGAGGCAGTGCGGAGGTCAGTAAGGTGAGGCAGTGCGGAGGACAGGGAGAAAAGTTTTTTCTTGCTTACCCTGGCAGCGTCAGAGCTGACAAGGGAGAGCAGCAGCAGCAGCTGCTTTCTAAAGGGGGATAAGAAGAAGGGAGGAAGAGGAAGTTCCGGCGGTGCGGCTGCTCAGATCGGGCTTGACAGGGACCTCAGCAGCCGCACCTGTCAGAAAATTTAAAGTGCTGGTGTCGGCACGGCCACGCAGTGTGATGTGTCCGGGTGCCCACTGGCGGGGCACCCGTACACAACACACCAAAACCGGACTGTCCGGGTGAAAACCGGACGGGTGGCAACCCTACTGCTGCGACCCTGGTAATTTTGCCTGTGCATAGTATCAGGGCATTTTCACAAGTACAGACATCTAGCATTTTTAGAAGTTCAACAATAAACTCTTTCTAATTCTCTTAGCACAGATTTTCTTTGAGGTAACTAGTTTGTATATTCAGTTGGTGCATTTTAGCTATTATTCTAACATTTACCTGAAAGTATTCTTTGACATAACGTTGTTTTTGTTTGTTTTCTTATTGTTTTTCAAGTACACATTTGTAAATGCTCCCTCTAGTGGTCATTTGTATGTCAGGGAATTAGAACAATAAAGACAATAATTTCTGACCTCTATACCTAAATGCTAGATGCTTTGCTATCATGCTGTTTTATTGGTTTTAGAACTTTGTTAGTCATAGATTTGGAAACGTATGCAGATCAAGAGTTTTTAACTTTACTAGTTTAAGCTAATGACAACCAGGCAGCTAACATTTTCAGAGGGAGCGGGGCCGGTGCAAGGATTTTTTCCTACACAGGCGAAGGTGAAATTTTCTGCCCCCCCCCCCACAATGCCACCCCAACATCCCAATACATTTTATTTGTGCTCTATTAAGCTATAGTGGCTTTCGCTCTGGCGTCGGCGGCGATACCTGAACACTCCACGTCACTAACATTAACAGCACTACCCATTCACTAACATTAACTGCACTACCCATTCACTAGCACTAACTGCACTACCCATTCACTAGCACTAACTGCACTAACTATTCAGTAACACTAACTGCACTCCCTGTCACTAACACTAACTGCACTGTCACTAACACTAACTGCACTCCCTGTCACTAACACCACTACCTATTCACTAACTGCGCTACCTATTCACTAACTGCACTACCCATTCACTAACTGCACTACCCATTCACTAACTGCACTACCCATTCACTAACACTAACTGCACTACCCATTCACTAACACTAACTGCACTACCCATTCACTAACACTAACTGCACTACACATTCACTAACAATAACTGCACTACCCATTCACTAACACTAACTGCACTACCCATTCACTAACACTAACTGCACTCCCTGTCACTAACACTAACTGCACTCCCTATTCACTAACACTAACTGCCCTCATCTATTCACTAGCACATCTAAGAAAAAAAACTGTACTGTACAGGCTCTCAAGGGGGCTGTACAAGAAAAAATGATATGATCTAGAGGTGATCAAATCAAAGACAGTTATTGAGAGTCGGAGTGTCAACTAAATTACAAAAATATAAATTTTATTCAATAAAGTTTGCAACACAGGGTATCATGACAAACCAACACCACCACCTAAAGACCCGATTAAAATTGGTTAATCCAACCGTTCACTCACTGACTTCATGCATGCATTCACGGACAAGCTGATGGAAATAAGTATAAAAACTGGTGGAACTCTCGATAATCAAATTGAAGCTTACAACATTCAAAAACAATATAGCGATCACACCTATGGGGGAATGTGCAGTATATATTGGTAGAAGTTATAGCTCCAAATAGTTGTTTCCACTGCGGGGTATAAAGTTCTGTATGTTCCAATAACCGATACAGCTGGTGACAAGTGAATACTTTTGTATCCGCCAGCGGTGATGAAGTACAGTATATGAATGTACTAGATCAGGGATATCCTCATCCGAATTTTGCTTCCTGGGTCAGGATAAAGTCCCGCATAATAGTGGTTAGATGTCTCCTGGTGTTTTATCTCACGCAGGGAGATCTCCAGACAAATAATATACGCTTT